GCGATTATTTTGTAATTCGGCGACCAGTACATTAATATTTATGCAAACTCCTAGGGTCGTTAATGGGGTTCTTCCACAAGCAATCAAATACTTCAACTCATACGCCTCCAACGAATAGTTTTATCAATGTAAAAAGCTCCGGACATTGAAATATACGCACATAGAAGTGAGCATTGATGTCGAAAGCCAATACGCTACTTACCGAATTGTTACCGGATACGCTAGAAACATTAATAATGCATCCCTTTGCCTCTTCTAATTTTGGCACAGCCAGATGCGAAAGTGTTAAGACAGAGCGCACATTCACGTTCATAAGACGCTCGTAAGCGATTGGATCAAAGTTTTCAACACTATCTCTCAGTTGGAAGCCTGCATTGTTCACCAAAATATCCAATTTGCCAAAATGCTTGACAGTTGTAGTAAAGGCGCCTGAAACCTGATCAAGCTCAGCGAGGTCCGCCTTGACTACGAGAAATTGAGCCCCGGGATTTGAGGCGACGTCTTGGCACATTTTCCGAGTCTTCTCGAGATTAACCTCATTACGACCCACAAGTGACACATTAGCTCCTAATTTTGCGAACAGAACAGCCGTAGAACGTCCGATACCCGAACTTGCACCTACAAAGAAACAAAAAAATTTTACATGAAGAAAAACTTTGAATTAAGTCACCATGCAAGGATAAGGCACCTTTGGTAATTAATTGGACAAATCAAATTTGAGAAAACAAGCAGGAACTGAACCATTGCAAAAAGGATCAAGAAGTACGATGACGCGTTTCATGAAAACTCGAAAATACTGCACAATATTATAAACATGTCTCAGCAGCCCATTGGATAACGACTAACACCATGATATTAAAGTCATTCCATGGTTCAACAATGTACTTGCCAAAGAAGTTTGGCAAATAAAACTGTGATTAGCTGAAACTACCGGTAATCAGTGCAGCCTTGCCATGTAGACTAATATTCATCTTTATCAACCGAGCGCCGTAGTAAACAACCTTGAAATGTGCATCATCAGGTGAAGGAAGAAGAGAAGACGACCGAAAGAGTTTTGTAATACAGAACACGCATACGTATGTCTTGCATGCAAAGAATATGCATTTAAAATCACTGTCTGACTTCCACAGCAATGGTTCATTACTCAGAATAAAGAGGGGTTCGGAGGGCGTGGGTCTTTAACATTCATTGAGGTTTTGCACAATTTATAACCGAATTTCTAAGGCAATACCCTTAACTTTCTATTTGGTTTGTTGTTACAGAATAGCAGGTTATAAAGTAAATGCAGCGTCTCAATATCCCACCCAGTTGAATAGAGCAGTGAGTGAAGTTGGATACAAGTATTCCAAGGGGAACAAAGCGAATAGGCCTGAGCGCGGCCCAAAGGTTAGCCCATGCGCACAAAGACCAGATTGCAATGCTTGTTTATGTGACCACATAATGTTTGGCGGTCACCTTGGGATTCGTCTGAACCTTGCACCTGTGGGCTAGCCTTTAGGCATGCTCAGACCTAACTTACGTCTTTCTTCCATCCAGCGGGAAATCCCGGGACACCACCGTAGAAACTGCAACCCTAGTCACGTCCCCTCGATCCACGAACTTCAAGAGACGGTTAGTTTCAGTAGATTTATTAGGCATTGATTAAAAAAGAAGGGGAAAGGAGTACAGATAAGCCAAATAGGAGATATCAGCGGGAGAGGGATAACTTACGGTCCTCACGCACGAGGCTCGCGTTCCAAATTGGTTCCCGCTTCCTTCCTATAAGGGTCAAACACTAGTATATAATACAGTTACACAGACAAATTCTAAAATGACTTCTGAAGGTCAAGTAGTCACAAATCAAAGTATTACACTACCTCTCTCTCCTTCTCAGAGACGTCCTCAGTGTTCCCCTTGGCACACCACCCGCACCAGCCAACAGCAACCATGAGACTGAGGAACAGTACCTGGTCTCCTCGGCAGCTTCAATTGGATCTACAGTTACGATCGGTCTGACAAACAGATTCGGGGCCGCCTACACTCCTCGACCATCAATTACT